TGAGAACGTTGTGATGGTTAGCGAGATGATGGGTCATAGTTATTAATTAAATTCCTTCTAGCTGGTTAAATTGGCATTTTGGGCAGAATGTTGGGCTTCCTTCTTAATCGTCGGGCGAATATTTCATCGAATAAATAAATGGCAAAACGTAACACATTCCATTGCTCATGTTTATGTTAAGTTTAACGCTTAATTAGCCATTCGATCGCACGTGAATATACTTCTTACATACAATCGCGTCAACGCATTACATTGCAATGGCTCGACGATACTTTCTTCTTCTTTTTCTTTAATCAACATAAAAATTGATGTCTAAACATCGCTCTTAATTACGAGAATAAAAGTTTTATAGACTTTTCCAAGAAATATTATTGAAAAAGATCGAGTACACACGCGCGCACGCACACACCATCTCACCACCACCACCGGCATAACAAATTATATCGTAATCTCCGAGTGGAGTTTTACCAAGTTTTACCAAGTGCCAGCAGGCCAAAGCATGAAATTAGTCGCTCCATCATTTTAAAGCAAATAAAGCGTTTAAATATTATATCGAACTTTCGAGAAAATCCACCTAAGCCTTTAATCATTCCGCTCTTGCGGTTTTCCTACACAACTCGATCCCCAGGTTTGATGTAAATGACCGGTGAGGTGATTGAGGTAGCCATTCATAAGTATAGTCACACTCGTGAAAAGACACGGTTGATCAATCTCTGTGATCACTCGAAAGCGCCGTCAATATTTACCCAACGCATTCGTGAATTATCTCATGGCTAGGCCGACGGTGATAACACGGCACACGAATTCGGCCTCTTGCACCTCCGCACCTAGAAATTGTCCCTCCTATTTTGGTTTATAACAGCCACTTGGAAATCGGCTGCGCGTGGAATCGAGTTCACAGTGCAGTGTCGCACGTCTGTAGCGTACACTCGAGTGTTTGTCGTGGACATCTGTTTTTCTTTTTGTCAGCTTTTGCACGAGAGATACGCTCCTCTTTGATGGCCAGGCGCGCCTAAACCTTCGAAGTCTCTAAACACTCGTAGTGGCTACAATTAACGGCGTTTGTTTCGTCCGCGCTCGAGGTTGTTTTCATACTCTTGTTTCTCAACTGACCAATGTCGTTAATCAAGAGCGGGGCGAGCGGGAGGGATGTGTGTGTGTGTGTGTGTGTGTACTTTTAAGGGGCGTATCTATCAGCGAGAGAAATAGTCGTGTAAAAATATGTTAGATAAATGAAAAGAGCACTATAAGAAAATTATTTATTTCTCTAGCGTGAATTATCTTACCGTTAGTACTGCGTGCGCTGGTGCATTATTGTGATGCACAGTCCATTTGTTCTCCGTGAAAGTAGCGGCTCTTTTTTCTTGAGAATTTTTTCTCCCAAACTTTCTTTTCAACTTTCTTACCCTATCTACTTTATACATTTTCTTTTTCAAGAATTAACTCATAATTTATTACTCGTAAATTTATAAGGCAAAAGTATAATTACTGATATTATGGCAATACACCTGCGCGGACAAAATACTTGTCCAAGTGTTTTTCATTAAAAAAAAAAAACGAAACAAAAAAAAAAACAAAAAAAAAACAAATAGCTTCCAATTAAGCATGTTTCTTATTGATAACCAATTTACTTTCTATGTATTGGACTTCGATTACAAAGATGATTTCACTATTTAGTATCAACGTTAAATTCAAAATATATAAATAATTATATCTTGATACAATATATTTGAATTACGTATTGTTATACTTTTTGTCGTATACAATTTATTATTATTGTACACGAGGATTATTCATCTTAAGTTTATAAATTGAATGCGTTCCATTCGAAAAATTCTATGGACGATTACTGTGTATGTAGCTAAACAGTAAATAACAATAAAATAAATTAATAAAAGCTTATTTTATCATTATTCGAAAATATAATGTAAAGGATGAAAACGTATCGACACTTTTTAATTTACGATCATTGCTTATAACTTTTACATTCCATCACTTATAGACTATTCTTATTGTAATTTTTTAATAAAATAATTTTACACAAAAACTTACAATCATTCAAATTAATTGAAATGCATATATTTACAAATTCATATTATTTAATGAAGTAGATTAGACTTCTTCAATTGAGTTCCATTTAATTTTGAAATTTAAATCTAATGAATAATCGTCGATCGATTATAATTTTGTCTGAAATATTGCTTCCAAACAAATTAATTTTGATTTAGGCAAGGCTTCGAAACTCAATGAAGGTATTAAATTATGAATTACTAATTCAAACGTGATTGATAGATATGAATTGAAAGGATACAATTACACAAATCCAAAAAATGGATATTTATTTATCATTAATAAATTTTTTTATAACAAATTCTAAAATTTTAAAAACATTTACAAAAAAAATATAATTTCGTATAAATCATCTCTATAATTCAATATAAAAGAATATTAATCTTATTTTCATAATTTAGTAATTGTTTAAATATGTGTATATTTAAGATTTAGTTTTATATTGACTATATTATTTACTCAGGACTAATTGAATTGTTATCAAGATAAGCAAACCTTACAAGTATCGGTCATAATCGTTGTAATGATCAGTTTGAAACGATTAGACAACTTTAATGAGAAAGAATTTCCAATAAATTTTTTATATATCTTCTTGCTCATTAGACTACTTATTACTATTAGATTTTTTATACAAAAAATACTCTTAATATCTCTTAATATATCGCTCGATGTATCAAAAGATATTTTTAATGACATATATATACGTCAGGACTGTATAATAATGTTGAATGTTCATAGGTCACTTGAATCTTAGACAGATGAATTCTGCAGCCTATTAATTACCAGCTTTCTAGAATTATAATTCTTAAAATTAATAGCTGAATACGAAGGAGATTACGATAATTCAAAGGAGATCCAAATAATAATAATCATAATAATAATAATAATAATATGAAATTAATATCTCTCTATTACATCGAATTTATATATTTTAGCTTCTAATCTATTTAATGATTAATAAAATTATTAAGTAGTTACTTTTTAATAAGGCTCACGGTGTTGAACATATTAAATTGACGTAAGAAAAATTCAAATATTAATATTTTTATAAAATAATCTAATGTAGAATAACAGCGTTTATTAATTACAAATTTGTCTAATTATCGCTTACAACTTACTCCAAGAATAATAATAATAATAATAATATACATGGAAAAATTGCATTTAAAATAGACGAATTCATTATAATTTGTTCATAATATTCAGATTCTATAAATAAAAAAGTATTAATGATGTATACAATTTTAAATAGAATTTGTATTCAAAATTTTTTTTTTCTTTTTCTTTTTTTTCTTTTATAATATAAACAACGTAATTACATTTAAAATTATCGTGTCATTTTATATACCAATACAAAAGTGCTGTGCAAAGTATTTATTATATTTTGCACACACATTAATATGTGTACATAAATATTTAATATAAATATAAATATAAATATTTAATATGAGTTAAGGATGTTGTAGAATGATATCACGGTTCTTGAAAAAACTCAAGACATATTATCCTAACTCTATATAACGAGTTAAATATTTTATATTTTTCACTATCATCGAGCTTCTTTTGGGCTCAACGATTTGCTATATTAAGTTTATAATTAATAAATCGACAGTAATTAATATACATTGTTGTTTAAAATAATTTATCAAGGAGGCACCGATAATAGTACATCATTGTTTTCTACTTGTTCTATTGATATTTTTAATTTTCATCTTCAACAATGATATCCTAAATTTTTCAAATTTATCAGAATATAAATAAAGAAATTGAAAAGAAAAAAAAAAAAAAAAAAATTTTAATTCCAATGCAATAACGTTATTTTAATCAGATTATTAGAATAAGTTTATTCATGATAATGTTTCAATAATTTAATTGTTACCTATTTTTCGAAGTATTGAAATGAATAATTTATTAAATAATTATTTATTATAAAAATTATTAGATTAAAATTTTATATATATATATATAGAAATATGTAGATATTGCATAAAAGTGGCATAGACTAGATATCTTTCAAAATCGTAATTATCTTTTTACATTTATGTCATATTTTGAAAAAAAGTTACTATTATTTAATTTACCTTAACAAAATTGAGCAACATAAGTGAATAACATAATTGTATAATACAAAGTAATAACATTAATTCTAATATAATACTTATATTCAATTTTCGGAAATAATTTTCTTATTAAAATTAAAGAAATATCGTGGACAATTTAGAAACTTGACTTTGTGTAAGATACAGTTTTACGTATGCTTGAAGAATATCGACAGTGAGATTTCGAACGTCCATTCTTATAATCCGTATGCATCAAAATCAACAAGTCCAATTTAAATTATTAGTATGTCAATGACTGAACGATCAAACTATAAATTTTTATTTGAATTTGAAAATGTGTTGTTGCAAATAGATGTAATAATCGCTTTTATCGTTATTCAGATAAAAATGAAAAACAAAACGAAGTATGAAAATTAATGATATTTTTCTTTTTTTTTTGTTTTTGTTTTTGCAAAGGAAAAAAATCGGTTCCACGAATAGCAAATTTCGAACGTTCGTTCGGATGAGTAAAACGAACAGGCTTGAAATAGTTAGGCATCTGTGAAAGGCGATTCGGGGACAAAATTGACGTTTGCCATTAAACACAGCCGAGACCCAATTCGTTACGGCCTCTCGGTTCGAGAAAATTGTGTCCGCCGGCGAGAAAGTAATTTTCCAGAATTTTGCTGAAGCCATTGATGGTAGTGCACGCAAACCACTCCTCTTCTACACAAGGATTAATTGAAAAGATTGAAACTAGTGCGGAACCTTAGCTATAATTTTGGCATTGACGAAGAGGAGGGCGGTGTGGTGAGATTGTGCACCTCCTCGAACGACTTTTTGGCCGCATTCTGGATCTCGTCCATGCTCCGCTTCGTTATTGTCGTGAGATCGTCAATTTGACGGCGTGTCGTGGTGAAGAGCTCGTCAGTCGTTTTTGCGGCAGTGTTAGCCAGATCCTTGACCTCGGTATCGATTTTGTCGATCACCCATTCGATTGCCTGTCGACCCTGCAAACATTTATTTGCCGTTTTATTTCTCTCTTTACCAATTCTTTTAAGAAGCATCATCATTGATACATAATGTAACAGGTTATTTTTAATGCTGTTATTAGTTTGTCCAATAAACCTATGTGCTTTTTAAACTATTATACGTTCTAAGTTTTCCAGTAGTCTTTCATTAGCGTTATTTCTTGTTTTATGCATAGAAGAGAAATTAATAGCAGATTAATATTAATTATTCAAAATAGATAATTAAAAGTTAACGAAACCCTAATTATCAAAACATTTTTTAATAACAACTATGAAAAAAAAATTGTTAAAAAATCAAAAATTTTAATTTCGTTAGACATATGTATATATATATTTTTTACAGCAATAAAGTAATAAATAAAAGATATTCTAATCGAGTTTCTAATCTACATCATTCATGTTCTTCGATAACGTTATATTTAATTATTTAAAATTGTTATCATATTTGTAATGTAAACGAATCGACACTCTCTTAGTATTTTTATAATACAGGCGCTTTTACTTATAGTTTTTTAATTATTATTATAATATTTATTATAGTTCGTCAACTACAATTATAACATTGTCTATTTATTATCGTTATTTTTAAACGATAAAAGGATTTGTTAATGAAAGTAATTGTAATAATAACTTAACTTATTATTCAGTATTGCAAATATTTTCAAAAAGTTTTCTCCAAATATTATTATAAATGAAAAATCACTATACTAACTTAAAATAAAGTAATATACTAACTTAAATTAAATACTAAGATAAAATAAAGTAGCACAAGTGTTTTTTAAAACTTGGAATGATTATATTCTATCTATAATAAAAAATTATATATATATAAAAGAAGATAGTAATTAAAATCATATTCTATTATTATAAGGAAAATTATAGACGTAAATGTTTGTCCTTCCGACTAAAATATAATTAAATTACAAAATAAAAGCCTCACTTTTCCAGCATTAAAGGAAATATTAGATGCCAGAAGATCTTCCATGTAATGAGTAAGTGGAACACCATAAACTTTTACGACAGCTTCTTGTGTCAAAAGTGTCTTGTTATCATCCTGTGGATGTGGTGTATAAGTTACAGTTTCGTCAACCGTAATATAATTATAGAAAGTAAGCTGAAACAGAAAAATAAAATCTTTAATTAAACAATGTGACATTGATTAACTAAAGAATCCTATATAAAATTGATATTCAAATTTTCATTATAGTTCATTAACTTTCTTCTTTCACATTATACACTAAAATTTTTCAAATTGAAAGATTGAATAAGTAAATATAAAATTGTTATTTCTGAATTTGGCAATATATAAATATTTTTCAAATTTAAAGTTATAAGAATTTACCAAATACATATTACTGTAATATAAATGTTAAAAATTCATTTGTATTATTATTAATTAAGAAAATTTCGCGAATATTTAAAAAATGTTCTATAGAATTGGTAGAATTTCAATAACTACACCTTTCTTACTTAATTAAAGTTTCTTAAATACAAAAGCTTCTATTTAATAATCTTATATATATATATATATATATACTTTTATATTCGTATGTTTATTTTGTTTGATGTGTTTTAATGTGCATATAGTAGTAGTTTCAAGCTAAATGAATTCAATCTTTCATCACTATCGTGATAAAAAAAAATAAAATAAAAAAAAGTGATTTAATGTCAACCTAATAAAATATTAAAATCATATCTAAAATTACCCTTCAAATGATTTTATCCCTAATAAAATACATATTATTTCGTAGCAAATATATAATGAAGTTGAGTTTTTAATTAAAAAGTTTTATTAACATTAAAAATTTAATGGTACTCTTAGTTATAATTAATTTTTGTATTTACGGTCATACGCATTAATTATATAAAGTGATTCATACAACTATTTATCCAATAAAACATCCTCTTAAATGTTAATTACATTTGATAACCGTATAATTTATTCAGACAGTTTATTATATAATATTATAATTAAAGAGCCATATATCATTACTATATAGCTTTATTAGATTGGTTAATGAATATTATGCATAAGATCTGCTTGAATACGTAAAAGGCATTACAATAAAATAAAATTAAGAAAACGTAGGCGTCACGTGGTAAAAAGTTTCATTATTGCGCGCCCGCGCGTGCGTGTGTGAACATATAGTGATAGCAATAAAAGTATAACAAATTATGAAGCATTTGAAATGATTGATCTATAAAGATATACTCGAACAGCAATTACGTAGGATAAAGCAATACGACAGAGGTAAAGAAATAGAGAGACAGTGGGAGAGAGAGAGACAGTGGGAGAGAGAGAGAGAGAGAGAGAGAGAGAGCATAGAGATTACATGGAAGTTATGGAAAACAATGTACTAAAAAGTAATACGAAAAACAATAGAAAAACAGACGAAACAGTGCCTAGAATTCCTTAATATATAATTATTTAAACAAAATCTAAATTTTTCGAAAAAGTAAGAAAGCCATTATTGAAAGATCGAGAAATAGAATATATGATAAATAGAGAAAAAAAACACTAGCATAGAGTTTAAAAAAAAATAGATGGCAAGTTGGGAAGAGTTAGAGAAAATTAATTAGAATACGTTGAATGAAATAGATAGGATGAATAAATAAAGTGGATTGAACTGAAATCGGAAAGAAATGTGGATTAAAAAAAGGCAAGGAATCACTGATTTGGCTCGGAGCCACATAAGGGTAGGAATTACCATTGGTCAACTGAGCACTTTTTCAATAAAATTAATGATAACGTAAGAAATAACGGTGAAACTAGAAGTACATATGAAAGGTGAAAGCTCTCCAATCCAAGCAGTACAGTCGCAATATGTGCCTAAATAGTAGTAGTAGGATTTATCGAAATCAAAGCTGAATGTTAAAAGATAAATCTTCCTATAGATTTACTATAGAAAATTATCGATTTGATAGAATAAGTATTGTTAGAAAAGTGCAAATAAATTATTGGAAACAAATTTGTTAGTTTGATTATCAGTAAATTATTAAAAAAAAAAAAAAAAAAAAAAAAAAAACCAACAATCAAATTAAACGAAATAACTACTCGATGATATGAAAGCATTAATTCAAAGTTTTTCGTTTATAATTTATATTAAATAAAATGAAAAGAAGGTTAATAAAATAAGTGAACCGAAGCAACGAGGCAAAAATGATAAAAGAAAATTTGCAATATAAACCTGCAGATTAGAAAAGTTTTTTCTAAGGGGACAGAGAAAAGGTGCAAATATAAAATACGTATAGAAACTGACTTAAATAGAAAAGTAATAAATCAACTAGGAAACAAGTAAATAACATGGGTAGAGTGGAAGAAAGCAAAACAATTTTCGGATAAACCTGATATGATACAAAAAATATAAATTAACGAGAGATTTGTACGTAACATAATAATAACCAGAAAATTGCAAATGTATTAAATAAAGTTGAAGTATTTAGTACATATTTAACGAGCGGACGTATAGATAAACATCGGCGAATTGAGTTAAAAGAGTAAAATATTATATTAAATGGAGAAAAAAGAAAAAAAAAAACCCGAAAGAATTAAAGAAAAAAAATAAGTTCAGGTTCAAAAAGGATAATTTTTTATCCTGTCATCTTTTCAATACTCCTTTCAAAAGTAGGGAAACGAATTTTAATATATAACAAAGGATTTGTGGTGTTTAAGGGAAACGATATGAAAACGTGGCGATCTAAATCCAGTCTTTTATTATATAAAAAATACTCATATTGACAAAAATTGAATGTAGACGAAATAAAGAAATTGTATGGATTATTTGTACAGAATTTTGAAGATAAGTATGAAGTTGAACTGTAGCAACGCTCAGATATTCTAAGATTGATAAAAGCTTCGAAAGAAGCAATTGACAATGTATTGATAATGCATACGAATTCAGCATATAAAATGATATAAAAATTATATATATATATATATATATATACAAGAGGATAGACAAGAGGAATGCGTAACGGGGAAATAAATTATAACACCGGAGCAATGGATTGAAATGAGAAAAACAAATAGTTATGTTATTCAATATTTATTATTTCATTTGAGATTATAAGGGATCTTAGAAAAGTTACTTGAGAGTAAAATTTCTATTAATAAACGAAATATAAAATTTTGTATAAATTACTTCAGCCTATAATATTGAACTTCTTTATACGTATTCATATTATTTTTAAGTAGATCAATACCAGAGAAATTAAAGTGAAGTAGAGAAATAAAGCAGTCAAAATTGAAAATATCCAGGCAGGAAGAAAATAGAATTATAAGGCAATACGCAAGAGAAAAGATGAGAGGCAAGAAAAATAAAATTTGTAGTAAGAAGTGAAAGCAATATTACGATAAAATAGGATTGATTACCACGGAAACGGCAATTTCAAAATATTTTAAAAAAACATGTGTTAAAAGAAGATAAGACAATAAATCCATGATATAGATATAAAAATTATGATAAATAGGAAAAATAGTGTCAATGTAAGACATATAAGAAACATTAACATTTTTACATAAACACATTAAATTAAGTACATCAAGAGTAATTAATAAGAAATTGTTGAAAAATTAATAATGACTTAATAGATATAGGAAGGCATAATTAATAATTAACGAGGCGAGGAAATTTAATATAAAAGTTTTGTATTAATAATGCCAAGATAAAGAATTAACACTAATGTCACAGGACTAAATATAATAGGGAGAAATATAAATAAAAAAAGAAGAAAGTACGTATTAATATTATTTGAAGTTAATTAAAGAAGCGTGAAGATAAAGATAATTATAATATCCAAAAGAGATGTACCGGTCTAACATTATTGTAAAATAAACGTCAAATCGGTATGAAAACAATATGTACAAGTTTTTTATAAATACAATGTTGCCAATATTAATATGCCAATAATAATGTGTATTGAAATATAAAAAATACATAGGGTAATGAAGTGAATTGTAAAGGAATTTCAATATGTAAATAAATTATATGAATTACGTATAAATATGAGAATATTCATTAGCAACTAGGAAACAAGATTTAAAGAAAAGAAAGAGCAAGAAGTTCTTTTATAAGAGGACTGTGAGAGCTTTTCAATTTAATTTTTGTGACGCAAATATTGCATTGAGTTCAACGATAGAAGAAGCAGTTTATATGTTACAAGAATCACAATGAGTAAATATATTTATGAGTAACTAAAAAATTTGTATATATATATATATAAATTTGTATATCATATAGTCTTTCAATTTTTTCAATGTTAAGAAATACGTTTCTCTTGAATCGAAAAACTCTTCTTAGTTTTTTTTCTTTTTTCTTTTTTCTTTTTTTCTAGACAAAAATCAGATTAACATTGTTTCAGAAATTATTATAATTTATAATTTTATATTAAGGTCTTATTAGTTAATTTGAAGGAGTTAAATTGATTAAAAGTTATCTTATTCGTTGAAGAACGTTTAAATTATACAAAAGAATATGAGCGATTGCAGGCAATTTTATTATTAACATAATAAGGTATTATCAAACAAATTTAATTCGTAAAGTATTCTTTACGCTTAATACTGATTTAGTTAATTACCCAAGATTATATCCAACGATTATAGAGTATAAATTGCATTTTATATAAAGTTCATTGAACTAATAATAATAATAATAATAATAATAATAATAATAATAAGAAGAAGAAGAAGAAGAAGAAGAAGAAGAATACACGTGTTTTATTTTAATTATTTTTTTATAATATTAGTTATATTATTATATTACTGTAGAAATACTTTTTGTAACGATATGTTAGTTTTTAAATTGTTGCTCACCCCGCTGTTCATTAGTTAAATTTTGAAGTCAAGAATACGTATATTCAGAATTGTACACGGAGGAGGAATAACCATGATTTATTGCTAAATCGTTAAAAGAGGATATGTAGGTAAATTAATAAATCAAAACAATCATCGTCGCAAGACTAATTTATCATAGTCTAAAGAGGAAACTAAACTACCGTCTGCATCGTACATGAGATATTGATTTTTCTTTATGAATTTTAAATTTTGCAGAATAAAATATTTTATAACATAGGAAGCGTTGTTTCTGCTCTCGGCTTACAAGCTAAACGGATTCA